AAGGGAATACATACATGAATTGGTACACGTATTCATTGGTACATGAATTGGTACAAGATCCGAGGTACACTATAACTGACTCTTAGTATGGATGTATTAGTTCATGGTAGTGAGCAGTTACACGAGAGGTGGTAACGGTACGAGTGAGGTTTTGAAGAACACTTGCTTATAAGACGAGGTAAAAAGTACTTGAACTGAAAACCACTTCTTCGTAGGGCGTGTACCGCGCACAGCGAACCGCGACTGCTTACCGCCCCTTGTACTGCAGGCGATGACCACCTATTCGTCGACCACTTTCCTCTGCTCATTTGTAAAATATCATTTTCTCCCACTGCTGTATATGAATGATAAGTGAGCCCTATGCACGTCACGGCTATGAACAACTGCAAGTTTGGCTGATTCCGAACCGTCACCGTTTCACGATGGGAAAGAATTGGCAGATCCGACGTATCTTAGGAAGCGTTGTTATGCGAAGTATGCATTCGTAGGGACGGATGATATGTCGTAATTTTTTATGACGCCAAACGTTCCCAAATGACGCTGAATATATGTGCAAATGCTGTACGCACTGACATAAGCTAAACAGTCAAGTGTTTACAGTTTAGCCACTATGCCAACAGCAATAGGAACATCAGAAGAGGTAAAATGATATGTCACGCTTGTGCCTGAGAGAATGGCTGCTCTGGACATTGCTAGATAAGTGAGCTTCACTTCATGACGCTTCCCTACAATTGTCATTAACCTGATGTGACGGCTGTATCATAGAACTACGTTTGTTGTGTTTATAAGATTGGATAGGTGGTACTTCATCACAACTGAGGATTTTAAGAAAATTACGGTCTGCTCAAAAAGCAGTTCCGAGACACGGTGTGGCTCGTGGTACAATTCCTGCTTGGACCATGTTTATTCTATGTGTTCGTTCGGTCAACGCTGCCGATGTCAGCTTTTAGGGGTTAAGCTTCTTAAGACCACCCCATTTGGCGTATATCATGCCCCACAAAACCGCAACCGAAATCGAACACCAGCCAGACATAAAAAAATTGGCAGATCCCGCGTGCCTGGGAATCAACTTTATGCGAAGCATGCGGAGGGAAGGTGACCGTGTTGCGTTTTATAATTGAGCAGGCACGTCATGAATTGACACTAAATATATGTACAAATGTTGCACGCAGAGACATATGTTGAAAGAAACATGTGTGTTGAGGAGTTGCGGATGTTTATACAACCAGTTTCAGTTTTCTATCTGCACAACGATGTCAGCTGAAAATGTGTTTTAGTAACACCAGAAGCTGATATGAAGCGCAGATGCTCGCGAAGACGCTGGCCCTTGACACTGCTACATAAATCGATTTCAGCACATGGCATCTCACCACAATTGACGTTAACCCGACGTGACGGCTGTTGAAAGGAACACATATGTCATGTTTATAAAATTGGGTAGGCAGCACTGCAACCACCATTGACATTCCACGAAGAATAGCGTGTATTTGAAAAGTAGTTCCGAGACCTGGCGTAGCTCTGTGGTAGAATGCTTGGGTTCGATTCCTGCTGAGACCCTGAAATTTATTTGCATTCGTCGGGTGGCCAACGCTGCCTATTTCAGGTTTTTCTTAACACTGACATTTATTCTATGCCTTCGTTGGGTTGACGCCACCGATGTCGGGTATCGTTTAACGCTCACGCGTTAAAATTGTCCATCTGCGTTCTCGTCGCTCCTCGGTAGATACTAAGTGTCAATCACCTTTGGCACACACTCGCGGGCGGTTATGTGCCTCTGGTAAGCGGGTATGTGCACATACCCGCTTTGGCACATACCCGCTTACCAGAGGCACATACCCACCCGCGAGTGTGTGCCGCTGTCTGGCGGGGAGCGTTTGACGTCATACGCGACGGTATTGTGACATTATTCATTTCCTGACCAGCGCATCATATTCGTCAAATCATCTTACCCTCCCATGCTAATTTTGGTTCACGCCAAGTAAAGAGGGAGACTACGAGAGCATCCAAACGTAAGCGGCTAGATAGATAGATAGATAGATAGATAGATAGATAGATAGATAGATAGATAGATAGATAGATAGATAGATACGCTCAAAGTCAGCGAAGTTCGCTAAGAAATGCTTGGCATATAAAAAGTACACCATTTACCGCTAAAAGGAACTATGTGGAGATGCGAGGCAGTGGGCGCTAACGCTTACACTGAGCTTCATCGATTTACGAAGTTCTGGATGACTCGCGGACGGCCTGCGGACTCCTCGGCTCACAGGTGGTTACGTCACATGCACGTGATCTAAATGTCCCGAGCTGACTGCATCCGCTGTGGCGCCTGCTATGCCTGGCTATGCCGTCTGCTCCCTCCATAGCTGAAACACAGGCTACAACGCTGACTCATTTGCAACCTAAACAGAAGTTAGGCAGTAAGTTATACCTATTTCATGACTTCTTTGCGCAAACACGTACACGGACACAGGGAAAAGAGGCAAACAACACGGGCGCAATGTTCATAGGTTCATAGGTTGTCCCATGGCTTGAAGAACGTAGCAGCGAGATACGGAGTAACCTCGGTTTTTACAGCACCCAACAAGCTGTCAAAGTTGTGTCCGCGACTTCGGAACATGGTGGAGTCCGGCACTACGCAGAGTAAGAACAGCTGCCAGATGAAACACAGCCAACAATACCGGTCTTGCAGAACAGCAGTGGTATACCAGGTTCCGTTCAGCTGTGGCAGATCTTATGTCGGGCAAACTGGAAGGTGTGTAAACACACGGTTGACGGAGCACGACTCGGCATTACGTAGTTCAGGACGAACACATCTGGTGGATCACTGCAAGTCTTGTGGGTGCGTACCAATTTTTACAGACACAAAGATTCTGTCAACTCACAAGAGAAAAATTAACAGGGAGTTGATTGAAGCGTTCCATATTAGAAACATGGGATAAAAATGTGTTGGCCAAGCTTCCGTCACCATGTCCGATAAAGAATTTTACTTTTTGAAAGGCACGTGCAACAATCCGTCTGCAGATGCATGAACTCTTCAATTTTTTGTTGTTTTGTGGTTCTTATCATGACGTAGCGCTGAATAAGCTTTATTTAGGTTATCTCGTTTGTTCCCGGATCCACCGTTGGGGGGGCGTGTGGGCTACGTGAAGATATAAGTACAGTTCGTTGTTCAAAATAAACTAGTTGTGAGTTTGCGCCCGTGTTGTTTGCCTCTTTTCCTTGTGTCCGTGTACGTGTTTGCGCAAAGAAGTCATGAATGAGTACCAACTCGCCCAACTTTCAGTACTGATTATACCTATTTCTGTTGTGATGCAACTTACTGAAAGTGAACTACTCGAGCGCGTGCGCATCGTAGACCAGCGCGGTCGCTCCACCGCTGTTTCTCCTAGCGAGTATAACGCGTGTTTGCCCGACCTTCGGGAATGCGCACATGCTCGACGTGGCTCAGACCACCGATGACAAAAACTGGGTGCGCTAACAATGCGAAATCCAGAAATATGTGAGAAGCGGACAAAAAAGCAAAGAGAGAGCAAGAGTGCATCGAAATTTTCCCGTGTCTAACTTAAGATGGCCGCACGCCATACGCACCACACTGTCGTCTGCCAGCGGCCCGAAAGAAATTGTTCGGGCGGTCCCGGGCCGCCCGCAGGCCGCCAGGCACGCGAAAAACGAACATTCGTCTGAGTAATCCCAGACCAGTGGGCGGAGCTTCCAGTTGGTCCCCAAGAAAAACAAATGCAGCACAGGCGTCCGGAGGCATCCGGAGCCGTCCGGGACGTGTAAATCGATGAGGCTCACTGTCTGGGGCATTGACGCTGGCACTCATCGCATCGTCACGCCAGAAAAACAAATATGGGGACGTGCAAGGCACGCAGTGATTGACCGGTGTTCCCTACTAGAACAAGCTAATCACTGCTTATGGCGATGAGGGACAGGGGATGCTGATTAGGCAGAGAGACCAGGAGTTTGCTTGTAGTTATTGCGATCGCAGCAAATTTTTCTTGTTCAACCACACACACAATGCACACAAGAGGCCCTGATTCAGTGCCTATAGACGCTTTTAAGATTTGAAGCTTGTGGTGCGATATTGTAAGAGATGGTAGGTGTAGTGCTTCGCCGCTCCTTTTGTCGCCGTTCACTCACTCTCTTCCCTGCGTCCCACTTTCCCGTTCACTGTCTGGGCGCTTCTCAAGAACATCCGGAATTGCGCGCTTGAGACGCCGCTGTGAAACGCTGAGCCGAGAACACTTGCACCCCACCCTCCTGTCCACTCCTCACTCTCAACCGTTCGCTGGCTGGGCGCCTCTACAGGCGATGGCAGATGTTTGTGAAGGCGAACATTTAACGGCAACGGTAACCTCTCTCGGTGCAAGACTCACGTTTTTCTTCTGGGAGGTGGGGGCTTTTTATTTACAATACACTTAAAAATCCTTCATGAGCATTTCTTGCGGTTCGGACTCGTACAACTGCTGCCGCAGAGCCGGCAATGGGAACGCGGCACGTCGTTCTTAGAAACGAGACGTAGCCATAAAAGCTGGCTTTGCAAAACGTGCCACTGTAGCGCATGCATCGTAGATGAAGTAATGGTACACCTCGTATGACGCATGTGCTGCCGACAGCAGGAAGGTCCATCTCGAGTCGACGAAACAGACGAAACATTTATAGTGTGATAAAGAAATCAATTTATATCCAGATAACAATCTTACTATTTAGGCATGCGTATTCTGCACAACACTTAACGACGACTTTTAACGCTTTCAACCGAAGGGCATGCGCATATGTGCGTACCAATTCGAAGAACAGAGTGCGTCCTGTGCGTTTCGTCAGACGCCTGTATACCTTAAAAACGTAATTATTTGCAGCGTCACAGAAGCGTGGCGCAAGCACACACACAAAGTATCGGCTCTCCACGTCACTATTTTCATTATCACTATAACCTTCGCTATCTCAGCTTTGTTAATCTAAGCTGGGCCTTCAGGAAGGCCTTATAAAACGGGCCCACCATTCCATTACTTCCGCGGTAGACAGCTTTCAGTTCATCGCTTTCAGCAGGATCGTTTCCCTCCGTGGAGAACCACAGCACTCGTTCGCGATGTTCAAGTTCACCATACACCTGCTGCTCTGCGTGGCAGTCCTGCCAGCGCAAACACCAGACCTCTTCAAGAACTGCGTGCCGGCCTCGAGCAGCGTAGAAGCGCCGCAAATATGCGTCCTGATACCACATGATGAATTACTCAGATACGTTACCTACTACTGGTTGCTCGCCGAGTCCGTGCTGCAGAAACCCTCCAACCAGCTGGAGCCAAAGTACCTCAACGCTGTCTACAACTTGACACGTGTCGCAGTCAAGGTGAGCGTACGGTTTCTGTTTTTACACTTTCCGGTCCCGAGAACTAGGTTCTAAGCAGCTTCTTAGAATGGCTGCGTGGCGTACACAATGTCGTAACTACGCCGCTAAGCCGTTGTGCTGCTGTGTGTGGCGGTGGGAATTGGCCTTCCTGCCAAGGCATTACCGTTTTACTGTAGCCGACGAAGCCTGTTTTCAGTTGCTCGAACGTGGTGTGCCAAAAGATATTTTTAAGAACAAATTTCTTTGAACTAACGCGTACAGAGTGTGTTTAATGGCCTCTTGCAAACCCAATAATCAAAAAAAAACTTTAGCGGAATATGTAAATGAAGAATGTCCTTACATTAACACTGTTAGAGATTTTATACCCCAAAGCCAACATATCGCCACGTTTCTTTCCTCACGTTTTATTATCGCTGCGTAACACTATGTTCAGCGCAAACCACGTCTGCGGTGTTCGAAAAGCCTCAAAAGTGTAGTAAATCGTTTTGTTAGGATTATTTCCCCTACGTGAACATGACATTATTCCGTAACTTCCATGGCTGCTAGGGATAGCGCTTGCAACTACGAAGGTTAAAAAAACCCAAAGTGAGGTCTTCGGGCACTTTCATTATCTTCTTCTTTAACGTGCAGCTTAGTTTAGGTGCGGATTTTTTAGGTGTGCGCCAGCAAGGCAATGTGGCCGCTAAGGCCTGAATTTGATCCCTCGAACTTAGGCTCAGTAATCGTACACTACAGTCATGCACCCCGCCACCATAGTTGGTTGGTTCACCAGCTTTGTTAGGAGCTGTTAAATTACGAACAGACCGCCCAAACTTAACTCTCAAAAATTCCTTCATTCTGCGAACTGCAATCATCAGTGTTAATAATTTTTTACTTTCCTTGAGTGTTCTTTCTCCTAACTATATTCAACTGTATAATTGGGACTTCTAATATTTCGGTTTCTGTCTGTACAAAAATTGTGCATTCTAAGCTACTCATCGCCTGTTGAACGGGTTCCGGAAAAAGCGTCCCCGGAATAAACGTCCTCATTCGCGTTGTCGGAAAAAATTGTCCCCACAACACAGACACAGTCGAACGTTGCGCCTTCCGGTCACTGATTCTTCATTTTTTAAAGAATAAAAAATGATCTGCACGAAGATTGCAGTTTACTGAAAGGATATTGACGAAGCACCATAATGACATACCAACTGTTCCAACTTGTCCGCTAAGCGTAATCTAAGATGCAATATCACGCACAATTCTTATTTCGACAAATGCAATCTATGGACGGAATCCCGTCTGGTCGGCGACATAGTGAAAAATAACAAAACGCCGACCAAGGTGAAATACACAAAACTTACAAACACGTTTCGGCTCCCCACACGGGAGCCTTGCTCACAGATACCGCGAATTGCGTAGTGCGCTCTTCTTATGCACGTTTCATCACTTGTTGCAGACATCGCGCGTACACAGGGGGGAGTGTCCCGATATTTCTGTTCAACGTATGCGCAGTAGTTTGAATAGCCAGAGATTCCATGAGCAATCGTGGTAACAACTTTCTTTCCGTGGCAATGATGAAGGCTTTATCCCAGTCGATAGCATGTCCAGTAGATGCCACATGTTCTGTGAGGGCATTAGCATGGAATCTATAGCGATGCACAAACCCGATAAAGACATAACGAGGGTAGCAGTTCAGCAATCGCGAGTTTCATCCGCAGGCAGTAGCTCGTCACACTATCACTCTGCAGTTAAGTGTACACAGACACTCAATAGATACTTGCTCTGTTGTTCACTAAACGGTACTTACTTGCAGAATGGGGATAATGAATTCGAACAAAGAAATAGAAAAGCTGTACTTTGACGGTCATTTGTAAATACAAAAAGGTACTGCCTTGGGCATCCGCTGGTGTTGCGCTAAACGTAATAGATGCACAGATGTTTTAATTGGTGTCGAATAAAGATTTCATAGAAAGTATCAAAGATCTGTTTATTGCTTTCTCGGTTAATTTTCACCTGTGGACTTATTTTTTCGGACAGCCATGCCTGAGAGGCCTTTTATTCAGGGGATGTATATTCCAGGGACGTTTTTCCTGATCCCCGTGGAAACTGGTCTAAAGTATGCCTTGCTTAATTCAAGAAGCTAACCTCTAGTACTAATCAAGTTCCTCCTATTACATTTTTTTCGGTTACCCTGCTATAGTCTCCCGAATATTAAACGTGTTTTCACTACATGCTTCTTGCCTCCGCATCCTGGCGCATTGAAACGGAATGTTTTTCTTAAACGCCGCCCAGTTATCCTCTTTGCTTCCTGCTCTCAATGCCACGACGATTCTGATCACTCTCCCATTTTAGGGTATTACGTCTCGTCGCTGTGTTCTATCTCGTATCTTTGGAACCTCTGTAGCACGAAGCATAGGCTCGTGTAGTAAGTGGGCTTTCCAGAGTTCCGTATCATAAAAAGGCCTTCACCTATTTGCATGCTAATACTAAGCTGATACTCGACGTGTTGTTGGATGAGTAGAATAACATCAATGGAATACATACCAGTTCAAAGGCAGAAAAAGACACTCGCAAACAGAAGTGAGGGGCACAAAAAATCCGACCTTTCTTCTCCCCCCCCCCCTATTTTTCTAGCATCTTTTTCATGTTTTCACTATTACATATCCTTTATTCTTAAGCCCTAGTGTGTTTTGTATCTTGTGACCTATAGAGGTCCAAGATATCTCGCTGTCGGTTCTGACACTGGCACTTCCTTCTAGCACTGATCATGTCAACTTTTTTTTTCTAAAAATGTTTTTTTTTTCAGTCATTTCGCGGCATCTCTCGGAACGAAATTGGCCTTGTAGTGTGTAGTATTCACTGAAGTTAGCTGCCTTCGGGCACCCAGTATAACGTACAAAACTAATTTACGATAACTTTAGGTATTGCTAATTTTTCTTCTAATGTCAACGAGCAGCTTTTGTGTATGTCCTCAGGTGGGAAGAATTACACCGACTCACTATGCCTGAACGAACGCTTGGGCCAACGCTCCATTCTCGGTGTTCCTTATCTACAAGACCGATGATCACAGCACAAAATGTTCTGCTGCGTGGACATATATCAAACATTATTACGTATACACCCCTTCTTGACATTATTCCGCGCGTGAATGTCTGGTATCGTGGTAGCTACAATGCACTTTTACCCTGCCTTCGTCCTAGCATAATTTTTCAAACTTCACTATCTTCCTACTGATCTCACGCAGTTTTTCTTTGTTTTTCTTTCGCAAAGGATCGAGATGTGAAAGAAAAAGCCACTTTTCGCTTGGAGTTTACAACTAGCCGGAGTAACTGCCTTCATCCACGTCAATACAGCGCTGTCACTTGCCTGCCAATTGACGACAAGGTAAAGTACTTCTGGCAGCACCAAGTTCGTATTACAACAATCTTTGAAGACGCCCAGTAGAAACTTTCCCATGACATTTCATTTAACGACGATGACATTTACAGCTACATGAAAATTATCACTCGGAAAACAGTGCATTTTAGAAACTGCATGTCACATGGCAGTATCTAGAGTTGAGTTGGCATAGTCGCCATTATGAAGACGCTGAACTACCAGCCAAAATACCAGGCCATCAGACCTCTAAATTCAGTTTTTCGCGAAAGCATTTTGGCTTTTCGTGAATGATGCAGCATTTATCAGTGCAACAGAATACTGCCTTGACAATCGCACATGCTACTGATCCACGGAGTGACATGAACGAGCAGCAGTGGCAAGCCACTGAGTAATATCTAAGTGGTCCGGAGCGCCCAGTGAACAAGTGGAGACATCTGCTCACGTGCGGTGCCCTCTCGCTCATTTCGTCTCCTCGTTAAAGCCTTGCAGTAGGCGAGCGGGTGAGCGTTTTTTAAGCTAAGCCAACGTTGAGCTAGGCATCAGCTCGATTGAGTGTATAGCTTCAACCGTGTTCTACTGGCGGCGCATCAATGCACTGCGGTGAGGCAAGCGAAACATCACTCTGCTACTATCATTCTGGCATGAGCTTCACTGGCCCGCTGATTCACTTAGTTATCACTCGCTCATATTGAAGGTGTGTGCGGCATCTTCAGCATGAAGTTTACAGGCGGATATGAACGCCTTAAAAGCCTCGATCAATGCCTCCTGCATAGCACGTCTGTGCGATCTACGTTATCTTATCTGTGTACATTGACGAGAATTTCCATCGCCAAGAACGGATTGGTCAAGGAGGTAACGTTAAAATTTGTATCGATGCCGCAATTTGCCCTAGCACAAAATGCTCAGAATTGTTGTCTTGGGAAGTGCTCGTTCAGTTTCGTCGTGAAGGCCCCCGCCTGCTGGGGGCCTGGTTCTTGAGTATCTTTATCGACTGCGCGAAAAGGATACGGGAACCTTGCTGAGTCGCTTATGCACCCACCTAAGACCACACAAAGGCCAGAGCAAACTACTTTATTTTCAGCGTGGTGATCCAGCCATGGTTTCTGCATCGGAAGTGGTTTAATGCATCACGTCCATGATCTGGTGCATCAGAGTTGGTTTTGCACTGCCTTCTAGATACGCCCGCGTTTGACCAAGCGGTCACAGAGTGTTATGTGGTCGGGTGAAAGTATTTTCGATGACGGTAAAATGACATGTGAAATAGTACAGGGACTTGAGACAATTAACGAAGCTGAGATCACGTGGGGCGCTGGTCAAATTTCATGTTTGATGACGCATCTCGGGCATTCCGCCTAAAGAGACTCAAAGCAGCGCTAGGATGTGTTCTTTAATTTTGACGGTGATCATGTCTTGCGCTGTTTGTAGATCATAAAAGGCCAGCTATCCACTCTTCCCGTATTGGGTCGTAGGTTGGAACTAAACTTCTACACTCAAGCAGCATACACTCGAGTGAAATCTATCGCACGTATCGTGCGATCCTCTTCGTCATGGCTTGGTGCGCAGTTTGGGCGATAAGCTTGGGCAACGTTTGTAAGCTCGGATAGTGGCGGTAATACAATATCACTCCTGCGCAGCGCCCCAGGCAATCACGGTAGGCCCACCGCATTAGACACCTTAATATAGGCGACCAAATATACTTTTAGAATCTAGAAGAGATGCTAAACACTTAATAGTAATTACTAATTACATATTTACTCAAAATATGGCGACTCGGATTCCATCGGACACAAAGCGCCTTAGCTTAAATCATGACCTACAGCCTGTCCAGTTAAAATTGGTTATTCGCACAACGGTTTTAACCCTTGGCCATACTAGAGTCGGCGCACATCCTCGTTATAGCGTATTGTCGGGACTGTGCTAATGTTGGCGACTTCCTGGGTGTATTCATGAATTTGTGCTGGTTCTTACGGTTCTGTATCCACATTTTGTCGCTAGCACAGATTTTTAGGCAACATCCACACTTGTCACCTGTACCTTCCCTGGCAGTACAAACATAATTGTATAAGGCCGTTTTATTTCTTTAATATTAGAGAAAGATGGCAATAGGCACCGAGGCCTGACAGATGCTCCTGCTCCGTTCACAAATTCTGCTGCAACGAATAGATTGTTTGCACAAGGCATCTGGTTGATTACATTCTTACAATATCACAGCAAATGACACGAAGCAATATCATAAATGTAATGCCGGACAATCATAATTTGAGAAAGTTGGAGGAATTAGGACTTATCTATATTCAGTTTTGTTTTCAATAACACTTATTTGAACAAGCGCTTAGTAAGTCTAATGAAATAGGTAAATTTTGGACGATTTAGCAATGCCGGGCATTGATAACTGATGTGCTGTCTGCCACTTGCGCTTGTAGTTCATGTGTGATGAGCAGTTTATTGATTTTATGTGTTCCAATAACTTTGTATGATAAATATGATAGGCCTACAGTAGATTATATCACAGAAACAAAAGTTTTGACCTCAAATGTTGACGCTTTACGGGGTAATTTCTGAAATATTTGAGCACCTGTTTTTGTGAGATAAGTTTTCTATAAATATGGGTATAGGTAATGTCCAATACTGGTATACAGTACGAGGGTCTAGAATTAAATAACGAATACTACGGCATCCTTTTCAACCACATGTCCTTTATCCTAAAAAACAACCAGTAGTTTTGTTCAGGTTAGCCGTATAATTAGTAACCTGAGTATTTTGACAGATCCTCTTTAAACCATGCACCAATACATTTGTGTTCGCACTTGTTCTAGCCCCCAAAACTTAAATGTAGTTTATGATTACGTGGTTTATTATTTGGCGCAAATATCAGATACTTACCATTGATCACATTCAACTGCAACTTAATTATATGTGACCAAGTTACTTGTTGATCTAAATTTGTGTTAACAATACTTACCAACACGCTGAATAAATTCTCGGCAAAGAACACATTTGTACCGTCGGCATACATTAGTATTTAGAGTTGTTGGCAAAATGAAGGAGAGCAAGATCATTATTATAAAGATTGAACAGCGAACCCAATATAGATTCATGAGAAACACTGTTTACAATTTTTCATTGTTATTTACATTCATGATTGCAACATCTTTATACCAATTTTAGTGCAACACCACAAATACCAAAATCACGCAGCTTATCTGAAATTACACCATGATTCACTAATCAAAAAGTTTCCTGAATCGATGGTTGGGCCTATAGTATACAACCTTTGTTCGAAATTCATAGCTTTCAGTAGCACTTTCTCACATGATCTTCCATTTCTAAACCCGTGCCGTGCCTCGCACAAAGTATTGTACTTTGTCCTGAAGCATTCAATGCGCATGTTCATCATTGTTTTATAACCCTTAACGAATCCAGGCAACACAGCGATTGGCCGATAATTGTTGGTACTACGATATTTCTCCTTTAAGAATGGGGCATACTCGAGCTATTAGGACATTGGGAAATATACCGCAATCAAACATTGCGTTCACGAGGGCAATGGGACAGAAATTATGTCTACAATGTGTTTGACCGAAAGTGAAATTATATTGTCTTTACCTGAAGCACGATTATTTTTATGTTTCTCAATTCTTTTCTTCAACTTCTTGCGCTGTTGTAGGCAAAAAAAAAACAGTTTAGAAGGTTCTTTCATTCCAGCTTCAGTGTTCTACAGGCCGACTATTAACACATATTCACCACTTAATAGAAACTGAGAATTGTGTACTTCAGCAGCTTTTTCACTGCTCAGAGTGCCTTGAGCCGATGTTACCTGTCTAGTATTACTTCCATTTTTTGTTCATTCAGTAATGACATTTACAACCTGCCAGACTTTTCTTGAGTTGCCTGGGAAACACATCTTCGTAGTACTGTCATTCAGCACGTTGTAAATCGCTTATAAGCTTCTTACGACCACTTTTAAACTCGGATAGCTTAGCCAGATCTCGGCTTTTGACAAAAGAGTGGTATAATCTGTTTTTACTGTTATCCATTTGGTTCAAGAGCGCAGCAGTAACCCATGGTTCTCTGTTTTTGTTTTGACGTTTCCTGTTGTGCTTCAGAGAAAAATCCCGATGCTAACGGTGTTTGAGCTTGTCATAAACAGAGTGCCTCCTTTATTAGGGTCCGTGCTATTCATCACACCTTCCCAGTTTACATTTTCGACAAGTGAGCGAAATTATTGTTGCGAATGAAAATAACGCTACCGGTAAAAATAAGTGCATGTTTCATTGACTTCTGCTTTTATCGACGGCAAAAAGAACGAAAAACTGGGCAATGATCCCTCATATTTAGCCTTAACACACCATATTTTATTTCATCAGGACGTATGCAATTCATGGTCATATGCTATTATAAATTGTACCCAGTAGTACAAAATCATATCCACCTGAAGCGCGCGGCCAGCCACTTCAGCCGGACTTTTCTGGTGAAATATGCCAAGACCGACGCCCTAATGATACCTCACATAGTGATGCCACATGGTTAGTCATTGTGGTGCGCTTCAAGCATGAAAGGCAGCTAATCCCCATCTGCAGCCACGAGGTCCGATTCTCTAGACAAGTGTTTGTACCCATGCGTGCACGATTTTGTGGCACTACCGAGTGGTACTAAATGGTCAAGCCTTTCACTATGCCTATTTCTATTTCGGTAACCTGGCATATCTTGAATTCCTAATGTGAGAAATATTGCACGAAACTAGTCCTAACCACGTCATTGGAAAATTAAAGTGTGCACAGGCTACCGTTCGCCGAGCACAAGTGTATCCAATTTAGCAACTTTTTCATTCTGCTCTTCTAATTTCGGGTACATTGAAAATGGCATAGAAGATGGTTCTCACCCGTTTTTATTCACCATGGTTTCCAGTGTGTATCAACTTGTTATTTATCATTCCAGGTGAACGGTTTATGCCAGGCAGCGCTTCACTACCGTAACGGCATGTTTGACATCGAGCAATCCTGGTGCAAGCGCATGGGTTAAGTACGTAAGAATTTCATAAAGCAGCCTGCGCTTTGCCGAATGTACGCTTCATTTCATATTGCTCTTGATGGTATTTGTCTGGTTGGTCGCACTTTGAAAAAGCCACCACAATGCCCAAGTCTGTCTTAAAAAGGTGTAAAAAGGTGTCCTTTTGTCCCGCAACAATTATCCGGCATTCTTGCGCTTGTTTTCTTGAAAACGTGCCACTGTCCACTTTCCTGATGTCACACTGATCCCTTCTTTGACTGGTCGTTTCGGAGTGCTCCCGGGAGAGTGCAGTAGCCCTTTCAGCCCTATGATTTTTATTTTGGTCAGACCCATCCTTAGTACGTATTTTACTAAAAGTTAGCGTCTCGAAAGGCCACAAACGAAAAATTTAGTTCGTTGTGTAAGTATTTATGGCTTTACAGCCATGACATCAAACTAGATCATGAGTCATCAAATGACAAACGAGAAATGTGTATCTGCTATGTCCTAGAGTGAACAAAATCTGAACAAACGTAGTACTTGAACGTGTTGAAGCTCTTAAAACAACTTCAGGGCTTCAACCCGAAAGTGGCGCCTTCCCGCATCTGCTTGCCGGCGTCATCGTCACTCACGACGTTGGTCCTGATTCTTCTTCTTCACAGCTACATGCTCCACAAAAATCAAACAACGAATGTGTCAATAGCAGTGACGATAGTTGAACTACTTCTCCAAGAATGAAGGGGTTATATTGCGTTTTCAAGGTTCTAGAACTTTTGTACGGTGTCTTGAATTATGGACGCCTGGGCCGAAAGGGCTAGAGTGCTTCGAAACACCCGGTCAATCATGGCATGATAACGCTCATGTCGTTCCTGACTTGATAGTGCCGGGTGCGCGGCAATATTGCGCAGACACGATCGAAAAATAGATGACAATAATTGTTGTGGGACAAGGACTCTCTTTTTGATCTTTTTTTTAGTGTAATGTTCATGCAACTTTACAAAATTTACGCTTACATGTGGGTGTACGGTCAATATAACAAGGTGATAATAGCAACGGGTCAGCGCCGAATGTACTGCAGCTCATTATAAATAACCGTTTTTTTGACCACCAACTATCTTCTTTTTAGTCCCCATATTTCCATTCGAAGGTTCTCTAAGCGCCATTTTTCATCGTAAAGGAATCGCTCGGGTACCTGGTGTTCAGCATTTTTAAGCCCAGATTTCAATTGGTCATTTAACTTGTTGAATGGATTGCTCATATTCGCCGCAATGAAACATAAAAATTTATGTCACGTACCTGTTTGATTTAATTTTTGGAGCACCCCTGCCTCAATTCATGACACTCTGCCGCTGACCCTGTTGTCGCGAGATCGCATCACGGCTGCTGCGATCACACTAATGTGTTGGTCAAATGATTCCGTCTCCTGTTATGTGCGTGCTAGGCGGTCAAAATTTCCGGGAATAAACGCTGTCGTGCATATCATAATAATATCGCGATATCTGAAGGTAAAGCACCAATGTTTACTGTAGTCGATTCACGTTCACCGCATTTTGTTGCACGATGTATTTGTGGATTCTTTCGTTTCAGGCTACCTGGCGCGCGAAACCCGAATCCCTATCTGTGACCCCCTGAAGCGCGCTAGCGCCAGGCGAGAGAGACATAGACATGGGAATGCAATAAAGTGTCAAACACGTACCTCTAGTATTGACTTTCTTCATATATATATATATATATATATATATATATATATATATATATATATATATATATATATATATATATATATATAATCTGAGTGTAGGCTGTACGGCAGTATCGATATTGCGCACATTTCTGGAATATATAGGGGTATGTTCAAGGCGAAGAGGTGTGACTGCCTGACTGGTTGCAGACGTCTGCGCCTCATTGTTTCTGAAAGCCTTCCGAATTAATTATTTCTTGGCTTGCTTTGAGAAGCTAGTGAAAATAATTTCACCGTCGTACGGAGCCCCGCGTCGTCTGGTTTCCCCGAAGGTCCCGGGCTTGTTGTCTCGCCGAGGCGGTTGCCTGTCTACCCAGACCGGACTTCAACAGCTACAGACGCCTGAAGCTACTCGTCACATCTACGCGCTTCTGGCGACCCACTCAAATCACGTAACTATCATTGCGTCTGACGAAGCAAACTGCCGCCCGTGTCAGAAGCCATATGGCCGGCCCTCTGCGGGGATTGACGGCCATTGTCTTAAGTTCTCCCCTACTCGGTTTCACGTGGCAGGTGCAGTGCTGGCTAGTGACGCGTCTCTGATGAAATGCGAGGGATTGAACTAATAGTTGAGTTAGTCATTAGCACACAAATTGCAGTTAAGTTTGCTTTGCATTCTCAGTATCACACGGTCTCCTGTGCCTCAGAAACAAAAGCCGTTTTACTACTCTTGTGATGTCTCGGATCACTTTCCGCTTCGGATGTGATGCGAGACAGCTCTGTTGTAAACTTTCCCGACCAAATTTCTATCGTAGCATTGATAGTATTGCTCTCGATGCGAAGCCGTGTAGTGAGGACTGCCGAAGCGATAAAGTTGGACTACCTGCAGTGACCTTGTGTTCGGCCAAACGTATCTGCACAATGGGCTGAGTGGCGTTAATAAAGCAAGTCCCGTTTTGCGCTAACTACATTCATTCCGCCATTTTCATGCCCCTGAACATTGGTGCTCTATTCGTACAATAATATTGAGGACGGAATATACTTGAATGCACTAACGATGGTCCATACCGCGTTATTCTTGGTTGGAACAAGCGTTTCACCTCAAAAAATTCTCGGCATGCCTGCAAGGCTTATGGAGCTCACCTGACCCTCGTGACATTCACACATGTGTTGTGCACAGATGCGTGACGTGTGTATGCTTACATCTATAATGTTAATACTTCAGGGGCCTACTTTCTCTTCTCCCGCTGTAGTCACGTTGGTGACAATGAAACACAGCACTTTTAAGGCCGCCCTCAACAACACACTTTCAGCTGAAGCTGGCAGCATCGCAAGCAAGACTTCGCTCGCCAGCCGTCGCAGTCTATTTCGTAGTCTGCAGCGACATACCATGGTGGCATAAAGTAGTTCGCGTGAAGGGCGCTTGAGACGTCTTGTTACGAAATGAGCTTATTGGTGTCTCATTGCAAATTCAACGGTAACGCTTAGCGTGGCAGCATTTATTAACGAATAATGTGTAATTCATTTTTAGTTGTCATACTCGGAGAACCAGTCGGTCTCCCTAGCAAGCTAGCTAGTTGAGCTTAGGTTTCGCTGACTTACTTAACGCGTACATATCATGTAGCTTTATTTATTACACTCAATGAAGGCTACTGCTCTGCCAAAAACGCCGTTGGTTAGAAAAAAGACAAGCTCTGTGCCATCACTGAGCTTTGTATTGATGCACTGTCATCAAACAGGCCTTGACTTCGGCAGAGCTGTGATACAGAAACTGCACTGAAGCGGCCAACATTTTTTTTCTCTTGGTCGTAGCTAGCATCTCATCCCTTTGAACCGCCCCTAAACAAAATATGATAATACGACGAGCGCGTGATTATCCCCCGGGTTTTCCCGTCTTTGGGGCAGGGTTCGTGACAACAGCAGTTTGTTGACGTGACGTCAGGATGTGATGAGCTCTCCGTTCATTCATATACGAAAGATAGCTCTTGCCAATGGTCCGCTTCTCAAATCTTTCACGCATTGGCGCATGCCTGTTCTTTTTTTTTAGGGGCGAAGCTCCTTAGGGCGTGGGCTGTGCGTCCCCTGTAGCCTGTATGTAGCCACCTCTAGTTTAGTTCTTGCAGTGTTCACTAGATGGCGGTACCGTCCCCTGTATGTAGCCACCTCTAGTTTAGTTCTTGCAGTGTTCACTAGATGGCGGTACCGTCTCCTGTATGTAGCCACCTCTCGTTTAGTTCTTGCAGTGTTTACTAGATGGTGGTACTTGTAGCTGATGATGAAAAGATGCAAGATGTTATAAACTAGAAAGCGGTACTTGTAGTTGATGAAAGACGCGAGATCTTATAAAATAGGAATGATGTCACATATGGCGCGTGTCATTGGTTGAAGGCAATCGTTCGATTTAGTGCGGCGACGTACGCTAGGGGGAGCGTTGTAATACAATCCGTTCGCTGTTGGCGCGCGCTCGGAGTCGCCGGATAGATAAGGCTGCACAGCGGAGAGAGCGCAAGGCGGCAGCAGCGCGCGCTCGCAGACAGAATCCCGATGTGCGAGCGCGCGAGGCAGAAGCGCTCCGTGAAGCTGCACGACGCTGCCACCAAGATCCTGCCGTACGTGAAAGAGAGGCTGCAGCGGCGCGACGCCGCCGCCAAGATCCTGCCGTACGTGAAAAAGAGGCCGCAGCGGCACGGCTGCGGCGTGAACAGGACCTGCCGAACGCCACACAACGGGAAGCGGCGAGAAAGCGTGCGTATCGACAGGCGAACCCTGAAGCGAGAGTTCGAGAGGCTTCTGCAAATCGCGCCAAGAAAGAACACGAAGGTGCCGACGCGCGTTTGAAGCGCGACTTCCTGGACGTTTCGTTTGGCCATAGCTGTGGCGTGTGTGACAGACTGTGGTTCTCGAACAGTCTAGTCACGATATCTTCCATCAAGAACGACCAGGCTTGGGGTAATGCCATTGCCGTGCTTTGGCGCGAGTTCCCCGCCGACGACGGCGGCAGCAGCAGTGGCGGTGACTACAATGTTTGCTCGAGCTGCAAGAATTCGCTAGTGGCGGGAAAGGTGCCTCCAATGAGCGTATCTTATGGCTACACGTACCCACCCAAACCGGATCACTTGCCGCCTCTGAACCCCGTTTAGGAACGACTGATCGCTCCTCGTCTACCGTTCATGAGCATAAAGCGGTTGACGCACGGAAGCGGACAGTACGGCATCAAGGGGCAAGTGGTTAACGTTCCGATAAACGTCCCCAACACGGTTCAATGCCTACCTCGGAACGTTCCGGACGACGTGGCCATCGACGTTCATCTCAAACGCCGGCTCGTGTGCAAACCGTCGTATAAGAAAGGTCTCGTTAAGAAACGTAACATCCACGAGTGGCTCAAACAGCTCGAGCATTCTCCGTTATACAAGTACCTCAAAATCAAAATTGATTGGAGCTGCCTCGCGAACGTGCAAGACGACGGTGACGTGGACGACGACGAGATCGAGCCGGCGCCGGAGGTTACCGACCTGGAAGAACCTATGCAGGCGGCGATTGCACTCAACGCAATGGCGCATACCATGATCTTTGACGACGGAGCCTGCGTCATCACTAACTGCGTCAACAGCGGCGGCGACGTTGCGGCGGAATCTGTGGCGGGAAAGGCGGCGCATTCTGCAGCTGATGAAATAGGTCTAATCGAAGGTACGCACAGTCTCCACGTGGCACCCGGTGAAGGGCAGACTTCCATCTCTCTGCTCTTTGACGAGTATGCCGAAGAGTTGTCATTTCCTCAAATATACCTCGGTATACCTCGTAGAATCACCGGACCCAGACCGACCCCCTTCACAAAGGCGAGTAGCGAGATTCGTCGTACCGATCGTCGCGGAGTGTGCCCCGATCACGTCGTCTACATGGCCATGAAGGTCATGCGTCAAAACGTTGCCAGCAAGACCATGACGTTCAGGACCAACGCAATCACCAGTGCGATTACGCGGCAGCAACTTGAGAATGCACATTTCATGGATGAAGTCCTCAACCGAGATCTCGGCTTCATGAGAGGCATACCAAACACCGTACAATACTGGCAAGATCGAAGAAAGGAACTCTTCGCCATGATTCGCCAGTTGGGTAAGCCTCACGCATTTCTCACGCTCTCTGCCGCGGAACTGCACTGGGACAGACTCATCGAAACGTTGGAGCGCTTGCGAGTGGGTCCCGAAGGGGTGGCACGAGCATTAGAAGACTTGAATTCCATGCAACGCGTCGAACTGGTCAATAACGACCCAGTTGCGTGTGCAATTTACACCCATCGAATCTTCAATGTGATTCTCAACATACTCAAAGATAAGAGATGCTCCCCGTTCAAGCCCTATGTTGTGGTAGACTTCTTCAAGCGGGTCGAATTCCAACAGCATGGTAGCGCACACATTCACACCATTCTGTGGCTCGATAACGCCCCGCAAGAGGAAGTGTCTGGCAACATGCCACGCACGCTGGAAATGGTCGAATCGTTGCTCACGCTCGACACAGACCTTCTAAAGAGACCCAGGACCCAGCTGCACGCGCATACCCACACTTGCTATAAGCGGGGACGCACCAAGTGCCGTTTCGGAGCACCGTTCATGCCCAGTAATGACACTAGGATTGTAGTCCCCTTTCCTCCGACCGAGGACGAGGCCGAGAAGGCACATCGTCAGAAACTCAAGCAACGGTACGAAAAGATGCACGACGCTTTGGAGAGGGGATCGTTCGTCTCGTTGGAAGACTTTCTCGCCACCTTCGAAGTTCGGTCCGACGCAGAATACATGGACATTTTGAGAGCCGGATTTACGCGTCCCTGCGTTCTACATCGTCGCACCCCGGCGCAAAAAATGGTCAATCCCTTCAACCCCTGGATCGCCAAGGTCCTAGATTCCAACATGGATCTTCAGGTGATCCTAGACCACTACGCCTGTGCAACGTATGTCGTCGATTACGTCAACAAGGCGGATCGCTGCATGTCCAACCTACACAAGGCCGTAATGCAAAT